ATGCGCAGCGTACTGCACTGTAAACGGCCACAGGAAATGGGGGGCAGCCGCATGGATCATGGAGGTACGAGCGACCTCCATGACTAAGCCAATGCGGCGCTCAGCAACCCCATTCTGCTGTGGAGAGGCCGGAAGCGTGAACGTCTGGCGGATGCCGTGCTCCGCACAGTAGGCTGCCAAGAGGTCGGAGGAAAACACACCACCCCTGTCAGAGTGCAGACGCAGGACGGGAAAGTCTGACTGGAACCGCTTGCGGAGCTGGAGACGAGCAGCGCGGATCCAAGGGATCAAAACATCAGGGACCTCACCCTTGGTGCGCAAGGGGAAGACCGTAGTGTAGCGCGTGTAGTCGTCGACGACCAGCAGGAAGTACCGCTCGTGGCCCTGTCCACGGACGCGGGCTGGGCCCCAAACGTCCAGGTGGAGAGTCTGCAGGGGAGCCTCTGTGGGAGGGAACGAGGAGGAGTGAGGAGTGGCGCGCTGCCGCCCCTCGACACAGGGAAGACAGGGTGGAGCAGGCGAGGGTGGGAGGGGAGGGAGAACCCTGGGAAGACCAGAGACAAGGTACCGGGAGTGCATGCCACGAAGGCGCTGCACTGAGGGGTGACCAAGGCGGTGGTGCCAGAGGACGGTCTGGTGTGACAGTGTGCGACACGAGCAGGGGGCCGACAGCTGACCCGACGCAAACGCAGATGCAGCTATCTGAGGGGACTCAATGGTCAGTGTGTACATGTCCGACCCCGGCTGCCGAGTGAAGGTAGCCAGGTGGCGACCCGTCCGAGCATACGTACAGTGGGTCACACGCTCATAGGCAGGGGTGAACTGGTGAACACCCCCGTCCTGGAGAGCAGAGCCCGCCACCAAGTTCGTAGAGAATGAGGGGAGGTAAAGACCCGACAGGGTGCCGGCCGGAACCGTAGGACACGGGAGGACAGTGGAGGAGGTCGCAAGGACCGGGCCCCCAGAGGGGTCAGCGAGGGAGACAGCAACAGGCCGAGCTAGCTGCTCAAGGACAGTGCGGTCACGAAAGAAACGGCGGGAAGCACCCGAGTCCAGTGTGAAGGTGTGCAGTGCCTTAGTAGACGCAGTACCAGCAGGCGCAGACGCACGAGCACCTGGAGCAGGAGACTCACTAGCACCGAGAGCAGCAGCCTCACCAGGACCTAGGGCAGCAGGCGCACTAGCACCTAGAGCAGCAGCCTCACTGGTCCCAATGCTCGGGTCGGGCGGTACAAGCAGGTAACAGTCACCCTCAACACTAATAGTCAATGCATACATAGCACCAAGGATAGCATCATAATCAAGAGCAAAGATATCAATGTTCTTTTTAAGCAGATCAGCCCAGCGGGGCAGCTTAGAGGCGTCAGGGAACTGCTCACGCCAGGCGTCGTCGAGACGAAAGAAGCAGCGCTGCGCCGTGTGAAACCTCCCACAGGTCTGGCCAGTGCGGTCACATGTGCGGATGACGTACGGGCAGGTACCTCCACCCCAGACCCCCCACGCTGAGAGTACCACTCACAGAGCTGCTGGGGCGACGGGGTCTCGCTGGGACGCTGCTGCTGCTGCTACCTCTGGCCACCGCCGATCCCCCCACGCTGCACCGCTCCACCGCGCCCGCCACCAGCTCCACTGCCGCCACCACTGCCACCACCACCCCCGCCACCCCCGCCACCGCCCCCGCCACCGCCGTCGCCACCACCCCCAGCTCCGCCACTGACCCCCCCACCTCCAGCACCACTCCCACCACCGCCACCACCCTGGCCGCCTCCACCCCCTCCACCACCGCCGCCCCCGCCGCCACCTCCACCACCCCTTCCCCCCTTGCCCCTGCCGCCCTTGCGCCTCCCACTAGGAGCAGACGCAGCCCCGACCCCCTCAGCACCGAGGTAGTCGACAGCAGCAGCAGATGCAATGGAGGGGAGGAGGGGGACGGGGGAGCACCCCTCAAAGAAGGGAGTGCGAGGGTCGCCACGAGAGGCACCTACAGCTACAATGCTCTTCTCAGCTGCTAGGAGTTCCTTCTCCAGCAGGTCGACAGTGAGGTCAGTGGGGGAGAGGGCGAGAAAGTGGTCCCTGACAGTGCACAGTGAATCAGGGAGGCGGGTGACTAGGTGGTAGAGTGTGAGGTACATCGGGGGAGGGTTCTTGCCTAGGAAATCGGGGGGAAGCGCGGCACGGTAGCAAAGATCACTAGTACGGAGGTGCGTGATGAGGTCAGCTACAGTGGCAAAGGCAGACAGATCGGGGAAGAGATAGGGCAGTGAGAGACGGCCTATCGCAGCAGTAGCAGGGGAGGAGTAGCGTGCAACTACAGCATCGTACAGCTCCTTAGCGGTCTTATGCTGGCCAAAGTGCTCGCGCTCATCTAACGGCAGGTGGCTGCGAACTGCTAGGCGAGCATGAGCGTCACGGGTCTGCCACTATGAGCGAGCAGTGCTGTCAGCAGTAGCAGCAGGTGCGGGAGCGGCGCCGGACGTGTGGTCAAACAGGGAAACATCGTCCTTGGCAGTGATCTGGAGGAACAGGTGCAGGTCATCGAGCCAAACGTCAAACTTAATCGGACGGCCCTCAGCGTCAAAAGTGAGAACGGTAGGACTGGCCATAGTGGCAGTAGCAGTAGTAGGAACAGTAGCAGCAGTAGCAGTAGTAGCAGTAGCAGTAACAAGAACAGCAGGTGCTGCAGGTGGTGCACAGTAGGGCGGCGCGGCTCGGTCAGGGCGGCGCGGCTCGGTCAGGGCGGCGCGGCTCGGTCAGGGCGGCGCGGCTCGGTCAGGGCGGCGCGGCGCGGCCCGGACTAGGCTACGCGGCGCGGCGCGACGGTGGGCCTACGTGTGGGCGGCTGTAGCGTACGGGCCGCGGCTGTGCGTGGGTGGCAGTCGCGCGCGGGCGGCGGCCTACAAAGGCGACGCGGCGGCCTACAGGCGGGGCTGCGGCGCGCTGGACGGCCAGCAGGGCCGGTCGACGGGCGGCTAGCGGGCTGCTCGTGGGCGGCGCTGGTCGTGCGGGCGGCTAAGAGTCGACGCGCGCGCGACTCAGGCCGCGCGCGGGCGGCTAGCGGGCTACGCGCGCTAAAAAAAAAGGCCGCGCGCGGGGCTAGCGAGCTGCGCACGGGCAGCGGGAGAGAGAGAGGCGCACGAGGGCGCTAAGGCGATAGGGCGCTCGAGGGTGCTTCTAGCGGAACGGTGGGCCCTTAGGTAAGTGGTCCTAGGTTCCTAACCTAGGCTCGTAATACCATGTCAGAATGAGAGAAGTGTTTGCACTAGGAAAAGGTTGGGTACAAGTAGGAAACCCTAAACGCATTGTACCCCATAGTAACTACCCCACTACAGCCTAAACAAACTGTAGCAGATATAACATTTGACAGGCTGTAAATCAGTATGTCGTCGAGGTACACGATGACGCACTTATCTAAAAGCGGGCGGAAGGCTTTGTTCATGGTCATTTGAAAAGTGGTGGGGGCGCTGGTTAGTCCGAAGGGCATGACGGTGTATTCGAAGGATCCGTAGCGTGTTCGGAAAGCGGTTTTCGCAGTCGTGGCTGCACGCGTTTACGAGAGAACTCGAGGACAGCGGCTCCTAGGTGCTGAGGGGTGTGAATCAAAAGTTGATTTCCTGGGGTGCGGAGATGCGCGGTCCGAAAAGAAAGTGGCTCTGATACCAAGTGTTACGGGTGCAAAGCAACGAGGTAGTGAGGATTGCACCAAGGTGTTCAATGAGTACAAAGTATGAGCGAAGGCATGAGCGAATACATATAGGCGAAACATGCAAATCGGTAACGCGGTGCGTGCGAGCTAGCTAGTGCTACGTTAGCGCGAGGTTCATGCTAATCCCGAAGCGTAGGCCAATTCGGCTGCTCCAGCAGTGCGAGGTTTGGTGAAACAGTGCGCGCGAAGTTGGCGAAGCCCCGTTAGCAGTAATAGGCGAACAACGGCTGCTGCTGTACGCGATGTTGACGGTCGCGGTAAGGAATGTCGAGAAAAATCCTTATAGAAACTATGACCCCACTTGTTATGGATCAGTTAGTAAGAATCGTTTGAAATACACTCGAAGTGGAACAGTCAAGGGTTCCGCTTCGTGAGAGGTTGGGGGGCGGGCCACTTCCATCCAGCAAATCAAGGTTTGGTTCGGGTTGTGGTGAAAGGTCAAGACCCCCCTGAAACCACGCTTGCTGGTTCGCCGGACATCGCGGCGCTTGGTGCTCGAATCGAACCCACAAACAACATTCACCAATACGTGTTTCGGTTGCGCTTCAACCATTCGCACGTCAGCATCCTGAGCGAGAAAGTTCCGCGCTTCCTTGATTCAAAGAAATTCCAAGGTCTTGGGGGCCCACAAAACTGAGACACCCTGGGGAAAAAGCATCACCAGCAAAAGAAACATCACCTGCTCTGCTGGGTTTAACATTTTCGATCGAGAATGCCGTACTTTTTCTCCTCAATAACTAAATAAACGATGGTTGTGGATTTATCTGGCATGTTCTGAAATTTACCTTATAGAACAATTTGTTAAAGCCGGCAGCCCAAATTGCACAACTTTTAAAAGCTTGACGCGAGGGGGTTTTTCTGGTCTGGGGTTTGGCGAACGTTATCGATTTCGGTTATTTCGCCCTGGGGGTTGGTTCAGTCCCCGAAAGTCCCAAATTGCAGGCGCGCTTTTTTTAAAACCTTGCAAACACTAGTTCGTCAAGTATTATAAGCTTGACCCGCACGGCCCGCAATTTGGGCCGCGGGCTTTAAACGTGCTTCGGCTCGCCGGAAACAGCCGAGGCGCGCATTTGCACACTGTGCAAATGCCCCTGTCCTGAGCTTGGAAGTTGGAACCACCACCACCACCACCATTCACTTCTGTCCAACCCCACCGACACCAATGCCCCTGCAATTTTAGCTCATCAAAATGCGAATTCATGTCAGCACATGCTTCCCGTTCATCATACCCATCCTTTCCCACTTCCCTCTAATGGCTCCTCGCCGCACCTCCTTCGTTGTGAAACTACCGACAGTCATGATGCTTCTGGCCCTCTTCATATCTCTCCTCGCCCGTACTTCCGACGCACAGGGATACTCTGCTGGTCCTGTCGTCCGCCACACTAAATCGGTTGACACCCCAGGAGGGCAGGCTGGAGCCGACATTGTGGTGGCGAAGGATGGCAGCGGTGACTTTACCACAGTTCAGGTAAATCATCTGACAATCTTGTGCGATTTAGTGCCGTTAATTCGCGAAAATCGTTTCTGTCGAAAGTGCTCGTGCCCTATGTTTCTCGCATCCGAAGTACTGAGAATGCTAACGTTGAATAAGAATTCGCTTCGTACCTCTCACATGCCTTCGCATTGATTTCGATCCTGTTCTCCAGGCCGCGCTTGACGCCGTACGTCCTGGCACGCCATCCCGCTGGAGTGTGATTTTTATTGAGAGCGGCGTGTACTGGGAGCGCGTCGTGGTGAGTACATTGTCTCACACTCGTGACAATTCCCAGTGGAACGCGTTAGGAAACGACTCCTAGGCCAGATTTCGCTGAACCCTTGGCATTTCGTTTGATATCATCCCCCGTATCCCTTTACCAATGAGTCACACATAAGAGAGTTATCACGCCCGCCGCAGATGAACGAGTCTTTGCACCACGTCATGCTGGTGGGGGCCAACGGCCGCAAGGGAGACCGTGCCAAGATCACGTTCGCAAAAACCATGCCCTCAGGAGGGGGACTGGACGACAGCGCGACGTTTCGACTGCTGGCAAACGACGTGATGGTGTGGAATGTCGTCTTCGAAAATGCCTACGGACCCGGCGACAAGGGAGGGTGAGCTGAGAGCGTCTATTTTCCTGCGTGCGTGTGCTACTGGGAGGAGCGGCGACGAAGGGAAGAGATCAAATAGCTTAGTTCTTGTTGCGAATGCCAGACTTTCAGCTGTCTCGTTTTCTTCCTCATGCTTGCCCTGATCGCGCGTCTCGTCTGTCGCGGCCGCTATGCAATCCAACCGCCATGCGCATTCGTCGTTGCTGCTCTTCCAGGAGGGCGGAGCAGGCACTGGCGATCCAAGTGGAGGGCACGCGCGTCGCCTTCTTCCAATGCACGTTTATGGGATACCAGGTGCGACCGCGCAACGACAAGATCGAAATCACCGCCGGAGTAGTTGTTAGGAGTCCGCCTTCTACCACTGCATCTCCGTCACTTCTTGCACCCGTTCGTTCACGCGCTTCATTCTGAGCCCATTTGTAGCTCAACTATCCGCCTGCCCTCGTGCATTCGCCGTTCGTCGTACCTGTAATTTCCCTGCTACCTGCACTGACCTTACTGATCCATCGCATCCCCTTGGCAACCCCACCACAGGATACTCTTTATGCGGCCAACGGTCTGCAGTACTACCGCAGCTGCAGTAAGTTGGCGTGTCCCCCATGGATCTTCCCTCTCCCCCTGCACGTCCATCTCTCCTTCCTGCTGCTTTCCTTGCTATCCTCTGCTCTCCACTTCCCCCACCTCATTTTGCCCGACCCTCGACTGTCGCTTGCCCCCTTGTTTCCTCGTGGCAGCGATCTTCGGGCGCATGGACTTCGTGTTCGGCAACGCCAAGGCGGTGTTCGACCAGTGCCGCTTCCGCCTCGTCTATTGGGGCGGCGCGTACTTCGCGCAGGCCAGGGACCAAGGGGAGGACACTGGCTTCGTTGTTTGGGGCGGCTCGCTCTCCCCATACGGAAAGGGCCCCATTCGCCCGGGCTACCTGGCGCGCGCATGGGGGGCGTACTCCACAGTGGTGTTCGTGAAGACCTACTTTGATGTTGGGTCGGTTCGAGAGGAGGGTTGGAGCTATGTGGGTGGTTACAGTAACACTCAGAACGTCATTTTTGGTGCGTACAAGTGTTACGGGCCTGGCTACAACTCGAGCCTGTGGGAGCACAACGGCAGGGAGATGAGCGCGGCGGAGGTGGCGCCGTACATGTCGCCGGATTACGTGAACAAGGACAAGTGGATTCCGTACAACCCGCTCAACCTCATGCCGGCCGCTGGCACCAGTGCGGTGGGCAGCGTGGGGGCAGCGCGCGATCCGAAGTCACCCGTGGAGTCTATCGGCGCACGCGGACAGAGGCAACCTCGCGGAACCGGTTCAGCAGGGCGAGTCAAAGGCACGGGGGGAACGTCCAGTGGTCAGTCCCCTTCGAAGTCGCCTGTTCACAGTTCTGGCGGCACGGCCAAAGGCCACCGCTCTCCCAGGAACGCTACCACTGGCACTTCAGGCACGCACCCCGCTAAGGGCTCCAGTGGCAGCAGCGGAAGCAGGAGCAGCAGCAGCGGAAGCAGGAGCAGCAGCAGCGGAAGCAGGAGCAGCAGCAGCGGAAGCAGGAGCAGCAGCAGCGGAAGCAGCAGCAGCAGCGGAAGCAGCAGCAGCAGTGGAAGCAGGAGCAGCAAGAGCAGCACTGAAAGCAGGAGCAGCACTGGAAGCAGGAGCAGCACTGGAAGCAGGAGCAGCACTGGAAGCAGCAGCAGCACTGGAAGCAGGAGCAGCACTGGAAGCAGCAGCAGCACTGGAAGCAGGAGCAGCAGCAGCAGCAGTGGAAGCAGGAGCAGCAGCAGCAGTGGAAGCAGGAGCAGCAGCAGCAGTGGAAGCAAGAGCAGCAGTAGCAGTGGAAGCAGGAGCAGCGGTGGAAGCAGGAACAGCAACGGGCAGGGCAGTGGGAATGGGAACGGCAGCAAGAGCAGCGGGAAGGCCACCACTGGGACTTCCAAGAGTGGATAGGACAATGGGAAGACCGCCTCCTCTGCATGATCCAGGCTTTGGTGTGGACTTGCCGTGAGGATGGCATAGGTCCTATTCAGGAAAAAGGCAAGCAATTCGTGGAGCATGCATTGGTTGACAGAAGGTAATAAAACCTTGTTTGGCACTAGGCCAGCCAAGATGACTGCTTCCAAATGGATGCATGCACATGCTCTAGAGGCGCCATGTTATTAGATGTCGTAACAGAATAATTGTCCTCAACCGCAGTTGTACAACATACCGTAGATTCCTTCAAGAAATGAAATGGCTTTGTGCTGTTGGCGTGCCGGACCGACGTGAGGGCACTTGGTGCCCCACAGAACATAGTGCACATTGATGGCCGGTCAAACAGTAATTTCGAGGGTTTGTTTGACACGGTTTGGTACAGTCTACCACACTTGAGCGGTTTTGACTTTCACTGCTTAGACCATTCACACCAAAACTGACATTTTATGTCCATAAAAAGGTGAACGAATACGAATTGAGTGTTTGACTCTGAACCTGAAACCTAAGCAGCACTAGTAGCTCAGTGGTACCACTCGGGTCCTTCCTGCATGCGTCCCAAACATGCTCCTCCCAAGTGTGAACATCCATTAGGGGGTGTCCAGCTCGTAAATTTACAATTCATGAAGGGATTTTCAACATTTTGCCATGAATCCCACTTTCTCCAGGTTTCACACGAGAACTCATCCAAGGTGCTGAGGTACAGAAGTCGTTTCTACACAAGCTCACGTGTTGGACGAGAAAAGAGCAGTATTAGCTCCTGTGTATAAGCTACAAAAATGCTGACATGCTTGACGAGTAAACAGTAACTGTGGTACAGTATGTGTAAATTGCAATGCAATCTAGGCAACACTACCTATGGGCATGACAAGGAAGAAAGCCCTTGTCATTGTGTATGTAGGCCTCTCGCCTGTGTACTAAGTGTCTCTTCGATTGATGTGCCATCCATCGCAAAATGCATCTAAGAAGGCCAGTGACGCAACCTTTCGTGGTCCCACCCTCAAAACCTCCTCACCTCATCCGAACAGCTTCTTGAAAATTTTTTTCGCCCTCCCTTCCTTCTCTGGGGCCGTCCCATTCCCTCCATTCGCCCCATCGGAAGCACTTGGCTCATCAGCTCCATCGCCACTGCTGTCTCCGTTATCGCTGTCCTCGTTCCCGTTCCCACTCTTATCTTTCTTCCTCCTCCCAAACAGCCCCTTTCTCTTCTTCGTTGGCTGCTCTGTTGTGCCATCCGCACTTGATCCTGATTCCTCCTCCCCACTGCTGCTGCCGCTGCTCGTGTTGTCCTCAGGGGCAGGGGGCGGTGGAATCGTTTTCTTCTTCTTGCCCGATGACCCGGTCTTCCCTGGAGTTTCGGCAGCACCACTGCCCGTGCTGCTCTCTCCGCCTCCTTTCTTTTTGGTCGGTGCAGGGGGCGCAGGTGGGCTCGCTACTTCTGCAGGTTGATCCTTATGTTTCCCTTTTTTCCCAGTGGGAGGGGCGGGTGGGCTAGGGCTACCATCAGCAGGCGGCTCCTTTCCCTTCTTTCCCTTCTTCCCAGCAGCAGGAGGCGTGGTCGATTCAACAGGCTGATCCTTCTTTCCCTTCTTCCCAGCAGCAGGAGGCGTGGTCGATTCAACAGGCTGATCCTTCTTTCCCTTCTTCCCAGCAGCAGGAGGCGTTGTCGATTCAGCTGGCTGATTCTTCTTTCCCTTCTTCCCAGCAGCAGGAGGCATTGTCGTGTCAGCAGGCTGATCCTTCTTTCCCTTCTTCCCAGCAGCAGGAGGCGTTGTCGATTCAGCTGGCTGATCCTTCTTTCCCTTCTTCCCAGAAGCAGGAGGCATTGTCGTGTCAGCAGGCTGATTCTTCTTTCCCTTCTTCCCAGAAGCAGGAGGCGTTGTCGATTCAGCTGGCTGATTCTTTCCCTTCTTCCCAGTAGCAGGAGGGGTTGTCGTGTCAGCAGGCTGATCCTTCTTTCCCTTCTTCCCAGAAGCAGGAGCAGCAGGAGACGTTGTCACTTCAGTTAGGTGCTCCTTCTTTGTCCCCTTCTTACTGTCAGGTGTGGCAGGAACAGGCCTGCTGATGTCAGCCGGTTGCTTCTTCTTTCCAGAGGACCCAGCGCTGCTGCTGCCACTGGGAGCAGGAGGAGACTCACCTAGTCCCGTTTGGCCCCCTTTCCCTTTTCCACTGCTGTTGCTCTTTCCGCTGTTGCTGCTTCTAGGTCCAGCACCGCCGCTCGTGCTTGGCTTGCCACTGTCCGCGTTTCCAGCCGAATCCGCTCCTGGTTTCTTCGCAGGCTTCTTCTGGGTACCACTCGAGGTCTGAGCCGGTGTCACATTGCCTGCAACTTCCTTGTTCTTCCTGTTGCCTTTCTTGGCTGAAGACGCAGGTCCCGCAACGCCGCGGGTTACGGCTGCAGGGTCCGCGATCCAGTTCATTTTGTTGATGTAGTCGTTGCTCAAGTACGGCTTCACCTCCTCCGCACTCATTTCCGTCCCGATCTCCCACGCACTTGCATTGTAGCCTGGACCAGAGCAGCCGTATGCGCCGAATGTAACCGTGTCCATGTCCTTGTAACCACTAACGTAACTCCAACCTTCCGCCCGAACGGACGCCTCGGCGAAATAGGTGTTGATGAAGATGACGGTCGAATAATCGCCCCACGAACGCGCGAGATAGCCAGGCTTGATGGGGCCTTTGCCGTACGGCCGGAGAGAGCCACCCTTGATTACGAAACCCGTGTTCTGCTCCTTCCCGCGTGCTTGCGCGAAGTACGCGCCGCCCCAGTAGACGAGGCGGAAGTTGCAGTCCTCAAAGACGGCCTTGGCGTTGCCGAACACGAAGTCCATGCGCCCGTGGATGTCTGCGCGCGCGCAGGCGGGAGACACGACGGTTAGGTCACACAAACAATGATGATCTATGGAAGACGTCCGATACATGTCCAGAAACCGAATGTACTTACTGCAACCCTTGTAATATTGCAAGCCAGACGCCGCGTAAAGGGTGTCCTGCAAGGAATGGGACCCACGGACAGGACGGGGAAGGAGGAGAAAGGTGGGAGATCAATCTGAAAAGGCGAGGTATGCGGCTATGCTCACGTGCAGAAGAAGCTGGACAATGGACCTGAGTTGTTGATCACGTGCGTGCGAACGTCCACGGTGTAAGTCAACGTGAGATCACCCCCCTGAAGGACGGTAAGAATACTCCAAACCTCTGGTCGTGCTCACCTGATACCCGAGAAACGTGCATCCGTAGAAGGCGACGCGCGTGCCGGCCACCTTGATTGCCAAGGCTTGGTCCTCGTCCCTGTGGGATGGACATATCAGGTACGAGGACATCAGGCCGACACAAGGACATCAAGAGCTGCTGGGAAACTTCAAGCTTGTGGAAAGAAGCGCCGTTGAAAGCAGTAGAGAGGCAGCAGAGGTCGAAGCGTTGCATCTCGTACCCGCCCTGCTTGCCCGGTCCGTGCGCGTTTTCGAAGATGATGTTGGAGACGACCACGTCCGACGCCAGCAGCTGGAATGTCGCGCACTCGTCCAGACTTGAGTCGCCCGCCGCATTCGACGACGTCACCTTCGCACCGCTGCCGGCCATCTCGCCCACCAGCGCCACGTGGTGTAGCGAAGTCGGCATCTGTTGAGGATACGTCGCGATGCGAGTGGACCAGAAACGGCTTCTCAAATACAGCTTTTGACATGAATGCGGGACTGAAGATACAGCAATATAGTAAGATGCGAGAGAGACGGGCAATATAGCGTTCATGTCTCACCACTGGCTGCTCCTCGTACACGCCAGCCCTGATAAGGATGACCGTGAAACGATCCCTCTTGCCGGACCACGCTGCCTTAAGTGCTTCCTGATTATAACGCACGTGGAGCAGATGTCAAAAGGCCATTCGTGAATGATGGAAAAATAACGAGTTCGACAAGAATAAACAGTGGGACGAGAGCAAACATCGGTCGGCAGGCAGATTCGTGCATGACAATGCGGTGATGGCCCGCTAACCAATGAAGCTTCTACGCCTAAATAACCGAACGGATAACGTAGGTCACGAACGTACACTAATTGTGGTAAAATCGCCGCTGCCATCTTTCGCGACAACGATATCCGCTCCGCCTTTACCTTCCACGCCTGCTAACGCTTGTGTTCCCTCTCCAGGTACCATGACGAATAGCAGGAAGACTGCTGCACAGAAAAATCTGCTCCATTCCGCAGATGATGCTCGGATGCGGAAATGCACCCTCGAGCACATGTCGCGCGAAGAGTTGTTGTTATGCGTGGAAGTTTGGTCGAATCCGAAAGGGGTGGTGCAAAGTGGAATCTGTGAGATAGTTCGCAGGTAGCACAGAAAAAATCCGCTTGCATTATTCGCGCTGGTCAACATAATACCTGTCGACAGGAGCATATGTATGTTCCTTCCAGGTTGAGTTGGGAATTTGGATTGGGGGACCGCACCGAGACGCGCATCTCTCCCTTTCTCGGACATGTGCGGGCCGCGAAATCTCATTCTTTGCCTCGCACACTGAACAATTTCACCACCACCAAAACGTTCCATTCAAGTGATCGGCCACGTTTCAACTCACATGTACAGCGCGAAAGCACAAACGTGCGAATTTCAGAAAATACAGCGGTGCGGCTCAAGACGGGCGTAACGGTACTCAAGAAGAGTGCGATAATATGCCATCTAGAAGTGATTACATAATGAGGCTTAGGAACAATTTGAATATAATTCACGAAATCCAGACTTCAAGAGAGCTTCTACGTGGTAGCAGTGCCCTAGATATCAGACTTTAAAGTCTGATTCAGAGTCCGTTCAGACTTTTTTTTGTACCTAGTCTGAAGTCTAAGAATTTTTTTATGTACCTTGTCTGATTTTTCAGAGGTTTTTTTTTATGAGTTGTCTGAGATTTCAGCCTAATTTTTTAAGTGTAGGCTGAGCCTCAGACTTGTATCGGGGGTACACTCTGCGCGCTTATCGAAGCGAAGTTTCCTGGAAGTTTCCTTTCAATATGCCCACTTCCGAGATGGCAGTGGAGTGCCAGGACGTGAGCAACGCACACTTCAACAGCTGGGACATCCGAATACACTCGTTCGTCGAGAAAATGTTACGCTGAGAAAATGTTTGCGTGATTACGGGATTTTTAAGACAAAATCTCGTCACATGTAAGTTATCGCTAATGTATTGTAAAGAATAGGAGACTTTGATGCTGATTCGCTGGAAAAACGTATGCAGCACGCACTCCAGGAGACTTTGATGCTGATTCGCTGGAAAAACGTCTGCAGCACACACTCCTGTGAAATTGCGAAGGTCCTGATTCGTTGTGAAAGTTTCGTGTGGCACTACCTGATGCTCACACGCCACGCCAAGCAACAGTGTCTGCCTGCTGACAGCTCAGCTGCGTGGCACTTGGCCCACCTGATACAGATCGGGTGAACGATCGCATCGCTAGAAACGCAAATCCAAAATTGACAAAATTGGCACACAGGCGAGAAAATGGGTACAGAACGGTAATCACACACACGACAAAACGAAATGAGATCAGCAGAAATAACCATGCGCTGCACGTGACAAAAACACCAGAACGCCGCCGACATGAGCAGTGGCGATGCACGAGCACGTTGCCTGATGCGTTGGTAGGCTGTAATCAGCTTCAATGCTATTATAAGTATGCTGTTATGAAACTGCATGAACATCTTAAAATTTGAAGTAACTCTGACAGTTCAGACAAAAAAGGTTGTGCTTGTCTGAATTTTCAGACAAAAAAAAATAGGTAACTCCGACAGCCAGACTAGGAAGAGGGGTGTACTCGGAGGCGTCAGTGATAAAAACTGAAACGTGGAATGATCAAGTTTAACTAGGGCCTAGGCTTAGGAGCCTAGGCCCAACTAGGATGTCGAGTAGTTTGTGCCTAGGGTGAGAGTCGAGAAAGTTGGAAAGGATGGTTTCACTATAGGTTTCGAAGAACATATAGCAAAGGAAACAAATAAGGTGCACCACCAAACAAAGTTTATAATAACTACACTAACTACAGCTACAGGCAGTTACAAATATAAGTTCTGACACTCCCCCATAACTGCCTGCATCAGGAGTTTGTGCAGAATACAACCTGCAGGGGTACACATGCAAAATAATAAACAAGCAACAGCAGGTACTGCAGGCGGGCTAACACTAGCTGGTCACCCCCTCCATCTCCTCACCCTCCTCCTTCCCTTCCCCCACACTGCTGCAGGAGCAGCAGAGAGGGGGGGGGGAAGAGAGGAGAGGTGGAGGGACGGCTGCTGGTTGCCTCATACCCGCCACCCCGGTGCCACTCCCCCGTCTCCCCCACACCCTCACACCCTCCCCCCCAGCGGCAGCTGCAGCAGTGGGAACGAAAGGAGGAGGAGGGGAAGGGAAGGATACGACCCAACGCTCCAACACCCGCCACCCCCATACCCTCCCCCCCACGGCTGCAGGGAGACAAAGGAGGAGGGGGTGGGCGGGAAGAAAGCCGCAGAGCGGCTACAATGTGTCGGCGCAGGTAGGTCAGGGGCGGCTGCAGTGAGAGCAGGTGCGGAGAGGAGCGTCGCGTGCCACGGGGCGCACGACAGGTAAGTTTAAGGTAAGGGCACCGTCGTGTGCCTCGGGGCGCACGACGAGCAGGGCACCGTCGCGTGCCACGGGGCGCACGACGGGCAGGTTTAGGGCACCGTCGCGTGCCACGGGGCGCGCGACGGGCAGAGTAGGAGTCACTCGCCAACCGGGGGCGGGACAATAGAAAATCGCCACGCGCCCTAGGCGCGCGACCGGAAAAACGTAGCAGCGGAAGCATGAGGCGGGCCCACAGGCCAGGACGTAACTCGCTCTGATAGCATGATAAAAACTGAAACGTGGAATGATCAAGTTTAACTAGGGCCTAGGCTTAGGAGCCTAGGCCCAACTAGGATGTCGAGTAGTTTGTGCCTAGGGTGAGAGTCGAGAAAGTTGGAAAGGATGGTTTCACTATAGGTTTCGAAGAACATATAGCAAAGGAAACAAATAAGGTGCACCACCAAACAAAGTTTATAATAACTACACTAACTACAGCTACAGGCAGTTACAAATATAAGTTCTGACAGTCAGACTACCTCAAAACGAATCTAGGGGCCTGCGTGGTAGCCTTCCGTGTTAGGGCATTGTGATGCGGGGATTTGAGTATGCTGCATAGTATTGGCCGCCCGAACTGATTGTTAACGCGCAATCAAAATGAGAAAAAAAAAAAGTGAAGTGGATTAGGAAATGTGTGCTCACCCTAATGTATTGACCACATTTGACACACCCCCTAGCCTACGTAAAACGGGGGGGCGGACAATGCACGGCAGACAAGAAGCAAGTCAGGGCAGCACTACTGGTCAATGCCTCTGACACAAGTGGTCACAAGACCAATCAGCAAGAAGAACAGGACTATACACAACAACTCGAAGTGGTACTACCGCTATCCCAACCTCTAATAAAAAAGACCACAAGGCCAGTCCAAGGGTACAAGCAAACCAGAGGCAAAGCAATCACATATATCAGCAACCTTACAAGCGAGGGCTTGCTGGGACAGTGCCTACCGTAGCTGAGTGCAAACCCGATGATAATCACGAGGCTGAAGCCCCGTAGTGAAGATATCGACAGTGTTGGCCTTCGAGGCCAAAAGGACCACGGAGTGTCACTCTCCAGCGGGAGGTGAACTATGTTGGAAATCACGAGTTGTACTGGTTGATCGGAGCATTGCTTACGTTCTCACTACTTGCTGTGTTTGTAGGTGATATTGTCAAGAGTTTCACTACGAAAAGAACAACAGCGATATACACAATGGCAAAGGTGTCAACGGGAGTGGAGTGTTGGCTCCGCCCTCGCTTGGCAACGCGGACGACTTGGTCGGATGAACGGGAGAAGCACCCGACTGTTCGCAGTGAAGAAGCTGCTCGACGGGCTTCGTCGAGCTGCATAGGGTCACTGTAGAGTTGCTGTTGACCAGGAGTGCTCGACGGCCTTCTTCTGCGGGGCAGGTTGGCGATGTAGCTGTCGACCTACACAGGACTGTCATGGGGCTGGAGCCGTCGACCAGGGAGCTCGACAGCTGCAGCTGACTGGGCTGGGCGACGGGTGGGCTGTCGACCAGGAGGGGCATTTCTGACCGGGAGGCCGACGGAGCAGTCCGTCGACCTGACAAGTGAGAAGTGGTCGACGAAGGGAGCTCGGCGACAACAGCTGACAGTTCTGGTCAACGGAAGGGTCCGTCGACCAGGGGGTAGCTCGACGGGAGCTGTGGTTGACCAGAGGCATCTGGTGGTCGACCAGAGGCACTTGGTGGTCGACCACAGGCACCCGGTGGTCGACACCAGAGCATTTGGTGGTCGACCAGGTCGACTGGGTAACCTGCTCGGCGAGTTCTGCGGGGGCACGCGAACGTCGTCGAGATCGCGGTGAGGAAGACTTCAGGCTGGTATCCCGAAGTCAATGTGGCTCGTCAGGCGCAGACAACAGCCGACGGATGCACAACGATGCAAGTCGGGCCAATCGTCTGCGCACACCTGCGAGCGTGCGCACTGCTGTCTTCTACGGGGCAACGCTGGACAACTGCTCTGCTGCAGGGTTGGCACGCCGTCGACCTGCAGTGTTGGTAGGTCGCCTTTCTGCAGTGCTGGCGCGACTCCTCTACGCAACGCTGGCAGACAGTCGACCAAGTTGTGCTTGCGGTCGACCAGGCTATCTGCAGGGTTGCTAGGTGCCTTTTGTAGTTATTGTTGTCATTGCTTGTTCAACCAGTATGTAATTTCGACTTTGCCTAGTGGAAACTCTTGCCGATTTCTCCCGTGAATGTGCAAGCTTCAAGGAACTAAGCAAAG